TGTTCCCTGAGTCTCATTTGTCAAGCATTTTCAATGGTTCCTCCCATCCTATAACTGCAAGAAAACAGTGAAAACACTTGCACTTTGGGATGGCTGCTGGCTGGGAGAAAACGATACACACAAAAATTTATTTGACTAAGCTTGGGCTTAAAAGTCTCCATGAACCTCCTGCAATTTTATGCAAAATTTAAGGTGACTATACATATTTTTCTGGGGAAAAGATTCACAATTTTCTTCAGTCTCAAAGGCTCCGTGACCTAGCAATGATGAAGGACTAATGCTTTAAACAATTATTTTATTATACCAAAATATCTACAATCTCTCTTTCTTATCTTTATCAAATGTTTGGTGAAGTTGAGACATGTGTTCATCATCTATGACAAAATATTCCCCACATGTGGGCCTCCAGTTATCACTATACCATCTCTTTTGTTTGCCACCCCCATCCCCTTTTTAAAGGACTGTCACAATTCCTGGTCTACCAATGAGCCCCCATTCTTATTATCAAGTATGCCTATGTATGTAACAAGTTTTATATATTTTTAAAAATCATGTCAGTGGGTTCCTATTGGGTAGGGGCCACTAAAGAGTGGGTTCAATCTGCCATCTTTAAACTGAGAGCGAAATGTCCTTATTTTAACTTGTTATTTCCATCTTCCCCCACTCACTTGACCTCCCATGCCTTTTCCTAATCCTCTTGATTCTTCAGAGTTCAGCTCAAGTTCAATATCCTCTTTGAAACTTTCTGGATAACCTTAGCCCTCAGAACCCTCTCACTCCTACAAAGTCTATAATATTAATCTGGCACTGGGAAGAAGAGTATAAGGGAGTTAACATGTTGTAGTGGAGGCTCTCTCAAACTCGACACTATTGAAATTTTCGGTCGGGTAATTTTTTGCTGTAGGAGACTGTCATGGGTATTGTAGAATGTTTAGTTGCATCTCTGGCCTCTACAATGAGATGTCAGTAGCAGTTCCCTACCCCAACCCAGTGTGACAGTCCAAAATATTTCTAGACATTAGCAAATGTCCCCTGGGGGGCAAAATAGGCCCCAGTTGAGAACCATTGTTGCGATCATTACCATGTATTTGGTACTGTGCTAGACTCTGTACAGACTTTATTTCATGGTCAGATCCTACTTTCCTGTCTTTATCCTCCCTTTGCTTTGGTTCCTTCATTTATTTGAAATTTGTTTCATACTGCATCTTTGTAAATCACTTTAAGCCCTTTTTAAAAACAAGACATATTATATATAAGTATTCATTTTTTTCTTTTAAACCTTGCCACAACCTTTGAAAATAGGTATTAAGATTGCCTTTTAATAGATAAAGACACTGAAGACTAGAAACCTCTGTTCAGTAACAAGACTAAGGCCCAAGTAACAATGATAGAGCAAAGACTCAAAATCAAGCCTGCCTGATACCAAAGTCTACATTTTCATTGCACTATGTTTGTTTTGTTAACTTTCTTTCCATAGACTCATTTTGCTTATTCAACTGTATTTTAGCTTATAGAACTGGAATTGTGTCTAATACCTCTTGGGAATTGTGTCTGTTTCTTATGATGGCATGTTGTTGTTGTTGTTGTTGTTTTTGTGTTCCATTGAGTCAGTTTTGATTCATAGGGACCCTACAGGACAAAGTAGAACTGCCCCATTGGGTTTCCAAGGAGCGGCTGGTGGATTCAAAC